AAAGACTTTTGTAAAAAATTTTTGAAAATTGTGGAACTGTGGGGTAGTATTTGGAACTGCTAAAGGAAGATGATAAAATTTTACTGCTTGCACTTTTTATTTGGCTTGTTCTTTCTCATTTTCTTCCCCATTGCTCAGCAGCAATATCAGTGAATATGTACTGAGTGACAAGAGATAGGCTCAAAACATATCTTACCAAGACAAGCCAGTCCTTTCCATCTTTTCAGTCTCTAGGCACTGACTGGGAAATACCTCTCACGTTTATCAAATACAAATAAATATGGGGTAGTACTTCTGGGCCTGCCTTTTTGTTTCTCTGTCCGGATAGCTCATCACTGAGATGTCATGGTCAAGCAGAAAAATAATAATAAAATTACCTTGTTCTAGAAATGCTGGAGGTATACTGCTTTGTTGCACAAATGTAAGACAGTTATAAAATCGGTCCAGTTTCTGGGCTGTAGAAAGAAGGGGCAGTGGCAGTATAAAGGGCTAAAAGAGGAAGAGCATGGTGTCAACGGTCAGGAGCTTCCTAGATCTCTGTCCCAGAGCATGGAGATGTGCCACAACCGTGCTGCAAGTTCTGTGTTAGAGGCAGGCACTACATGTACATACCGGAAGTTGAGGCTAACTGCAGATCCAGAAGATAACCAGAAAAGTTGCCAATGTGTGAGTCTGAACTTGGAGCATCCCAGTAAACACGTTAACAGGAAAATTTTCCCATCCGGCTTCTGGCAAGCAGCTGTTACTGGGGACTGAATGACAAGCCTGCAATCCTATGGATCACGTGGGGTACATTTCTTCTCTTGCAGCATCTCAAGTAAGCCAGAGCTCTTGAGCCACTCTCTGGAGTAATTCCAGTGAATTTTAGCTTCCTTTTATCTCTTCCAGAGAGGAATGTGCACTGAAAATGTAACATTCCTAAGAACACAATATTCCTTTCTTACTCGAGCAGGAATAAGGCATTTGTACTCCCAGTTTACTAAGAGAGTTGTTAAGCTATACCAACCAAAGCAGTTCTGAACAAATGCACCATTGTAACTCTTCACTCTGCTAGGATACCTAGTTCATAGAATGATAGAATCATACAATCACAGAATTCCTTTTATTTAAAAAAAAATTCCACTGTTTTGTTCATTTTAATCTCTTCTATCCAAAGCAAGCAGCTTGGCTACTTTATTCCATCTATTAACATTAGAATACACTGACAGAAAATTCCGTTGGAGCTCCTGAAGGTCATTTTGGTCATCATTTTGTAACTTCAGTAAAGCAGAAATAAATACTAAAGTTATAGTTGCGTAAATGCCAAGTCTAGCAAGCAGTAAGCTTCAAGTGGTCCTCTTCGAAAATTGAAGACTGTGACACAGCTGCAAAACAAAGATGTTCCCTTAAATATCTCATACATTGATTTAAAATACTGGAATAGTTGCTTCCTTCTTTTAGTACTCATAACTTATTTGGTCTGCATATCAGGAGAGACACCCGGAATTCTTGTTGATACACAGAAACTTCTGTCAAGTATGAATTGGACTAGTTGACAATTACTATACTATTCATTCATTCATTCTTCAAAAGTAACATTTTTGCAGGAAGTGTCTGAATTCTCTGCTCTAGCAGGGAATAATTAAATTTCTCCAGTTCACGGAGATAAATAAAAGGTTCAGATACGCTGTGCAATTATTATTAGCGAGGCATTGCTACATATATGTCAGATCAATTCACACACTTTCCAGAAAAGGAGCTCTTTAAAAATTTTGTACTGGTGACTGTGGCAGTTACGAAAGAACTCAGTTTTTCTATAAATTCTTTTGTGATTCAGCCTTAGAAAACCACATTTTGACTACTTCTTCCCGTTTTTCGCTCACATCATTTAGGTTTTGTATATTCTGGCAACAGCAGAAAGATTTTATCAAACACCCTTAGGTGAAACCCAACGTGAATTCAGTAATCTGTGACCTTTTTACTTACCAGACAAACATTTTTCTTTTTGCAGGCAGAGTGCCCAGAGACTTTGCTTGAAGCAGTTAGCAGAAGTTCCACACAACTGTTCTTTAAGAAAACACCCAGTGTACATACCACCCTATATGGGTGTCCTTTCCAGCAAGTATTCCTAATAGCAATGTTTATCATAGCTGGGAAGCAAATTAATTTGTTCCTTAGCTCTTCCATCATGTGGGATAGCTGTCACTGTTCTGTAAGGAAGTTTCTTGCTAGCGCGTTTTTGGCAGTCTTCAGTTACTGTTAATAATATAAATGGTATTTTTCTCAAGACAAAAAAAAAGAAAAAATGAGAATAAAATGACCAAGAAACTGTGCTGTTAAAGTGACGGGGCATATCCAGGAAAAAAGAATAAACAAACATTTCTCCACACTGAAAATGCAGAAAGTTTGGGTGAAGTTACCTAAGTGGGAATGTTGACAAAAGTGGCTAAGATCCCTACGGTTCAACATTTGAAATATACGTTTGAGAATTTTTACTCATGTTAACAGCTCATATATATTTACATTTATATGTATATACAGGTAGTCTTTCTTCCTTGGGCTAGTGCTAGTGAAAATAATAGCAGCATGAGCTTCTCAGCTTCAATCTTTTAAAGCATGCGCTTGATCCAGATACTTGAGACTGCATTTGATCTAATTGCTTGAGGCTTTCTCTGCAGACTGAAGAAACCACAGCATGAGTGGTAAGCACCCCTGTGAAATATACAGGAAGTAAAGGAACTCAGAATTTCACACCAATAATTCCTTAGTCTGATTTTTGTAACCAGAAAACTATCAGTAAATAGGTTTCCTGATCACAGAGCAGTTAACTTCTGCCTGTGAAAAATTAAGAATACTTTTGTGTTCTGTATTTTATCCATCTTAATTTCTGAATTTCTAAATGGGAAATAAACTACTTCTGAAGGTACTTCTGCTTTTTTAAGGCAATTTTCCTTCTCTTTTCTTGTACTAATGTCACATGTTGTTGGTTACAGAGATAACCATGCTGGGCATGTGCACAAGAATATTTTTTCCTCTGTAATGGAAACCACATTAATATCCTCAGAATTTCTCCACTTTACAAATACCGTTATTCTTTAGTATACTGAATTGTTCACATTGTGTAGATTTCCAAGTACCTAATTTACATTATGAAAAAGGTAAGTGCTCTAGAATCATCACAAATGGGCATCAAACTGTAGGTCTACAGGTCAGATCTAATGCATTTATTCAAATTTTGTATCATTTTAATACTTCACATTAGTATAGCCTTGCCAGCAACAGTCACCAAAAAATGCTTAGATGTAGAATTTGCTGGCAAAATAAAGTACTACAATTTTCTGATGGATGAGTTTTTGTTTCAAAATTTAGCTTGAAATCAAAGCTGTTGATTCAGGTGGGCTGACACCAAGCATGTGGGGTGTTTGTGTTTGGTTCAGATACAGGGTTATTTTTTAAAAATGTAAAAACCTAACTGGCTTGTGGTCAGGGTTTTCCTCCTGTTCAAACAGAAGCTTATTTTTAGAATTTTCTTGGGCTCTGCATAGGTGCAGAAGGCAACACTGCTGTTCACAGTTGAAGAAGCACAATCCATAAGAATTTAGTGATTCTGCTTCTCTGGTGTGTCCCAGCCCATTCCTAAGTAGGGCTGTGAATATACTCAGACTATGTGTTCAGGCCAGTCATTCTGGATTCTCTATTCTTAAAATACCTTTTGAGGTGTTTAAGATAAAACAGAAACATCTCTCCTGTTTCTGAAAGAAGATGTCTCTGTGTGACCTTCCAGGATGGAACATCTGTCATTATCTGTAATGCAGCAACACGCTGTGTATTGAGAGTGACAGAACTTCTTATACACAGCCCATAATCACCTTCATCATGGTCTGGGCTGCCTTTTGGTCACTGCAAATTGCTGCATTTTTCAAAAGATGGACACTAATGTACAGTTGTTGATTGAGCAGAATACCACTGCAAAAGTGCAATAACCTAAAAAGTAACACTCTCTGGAAAGTATAGCGAACTCTTGATGAGCAATACTCGAGCTATTTAATAAACAATGAAGTTTAAATGTCTTGCTCTGAGAAGAACTGCTTTAATAATTCAAACAGAAATGAGCACAAAATATCAATATTTTCCTAAAAGTTGGATCTTCTGCCTAAAACAATAGATTTATCTTAATTTTTACCCTCACATCTTACTTATATAGTTAGTTACATAGTAGTAGATAATGGACAGGTGCCCTTTCCTGGATACTAAATGAAATTTTAAGGAAGCTAGGGTGGAAGAAGCTGAGTGTTGATGCTGCTTTTTATTTCTACTGTTGTTTCATTACCTTCTTAGATCTCCTGTTGGTGTTGCTTTTTTTCCCACAATTGTATTTCACTTTTTCCTTTGCATTGCACTTTTAATACAAATCCACAATCAATAATTTTTATAACTTTTCTAGAGCGTTTTGCTCTTGTATCAGCTAGAATGATCCACATCTTCATTAGTAAACATAGAAGAAAATAAATAGAATCATAGAATGGTTTGGGTTGGAAGGCACCTGGCAGCTTTGGCTCAGACTGAACAACTCTTGACCCTTGACACAGCGAGAACCAGAGAATTGCTTAGGTTTATATATACACAAAATAATATAGATATAGTAAAAGGCAGGAAAAATACATAATTTATTCATACTTCTCTTTAAACGAAAACAAACACAACTCGAAAACCCTAGTGATTTTATTTCTCATACAAAAGGATTTTGTCTAAGTGGTTTAGTGGTAACTCTGCCATTTTCATACCGCATGTAAAATTTATTCCATACAGTTTTATATACTTTGTTTAATTAACAGTCTGTATTAAAGTTGCATAGGTAAAACTATATATGACAGACTGCAGCAGATGGCAGATGATCAGTATGCCCGCATCTATCTCCTTGATGTCAAGTGTTTCAATCCAATTGCTGAAGAGAAGCAATAAATGCTGCATCTAGTATTAATGATGAATTGACGAATACGTGAAAAGCCCTTATGGACTGCAGATAAGTGTACAATGTTATAGAGAAAAAAAGAAATAAAACCTCATGTAGTAATACAAAATGTTAAGATGAAATTCTGCCTGAAAAACTGTAGCTGACTAATTCATATGTATGAAGTCCTTAAATAACATCCAAACTGAAGTCTCTGTAGTTGCTGTTTATGTCTTAAATATATTCAAAAATTCTCCCTCCTTTTTTACAAAATACTCTTTCTGGTTTTTCGTGGCTTGAACTTCCATCATCTTTTGCAGTATCACAGACCATTTGGTAAACATAACAACTGAACTTCCTGTTAGGCTTCTGTTCTATATGTAATACAAGGTCTTTGTCAAAGTAAACTTCATGACTGTAAGTCTGAAATGAGAAAAAAACATATTCCGATTGTAGTCTCCATTTCCACACCTTGCTAATACCCATAACATTTTCCTTGGGGAACAAAAAACTTTTAACATTGGTGACCCTCCATGATGAGACAGTTATTTTGTGTAGGTACATGCAGATTACTCTTCCAGATAAAGGACAGAATATTAAAACTTTGAGAGGTTTCCCACCTGCCTATTTTAGGAATCTAAGTGCAGTTCAGAGCATCTGATTTAAGGTCCTAAATTGCTTGTGCAGTCAATGGTAAATGAGGTGCTGAATATATCAGACCACCTAAGCTGGATGTCCACCTAAATTCAGACTGTGTGAACAGTCCATTACATCCCTCCAAATATACACACAATGAGGTCCACGCTTAATTCTATGCATGAGCAGTTCAAGTTAAGCTAGTGAGACTATTTACAGTTTGTAAAGTTAAGCTGATATAACTAGCCAGAGGGTGACTATTCAGGTTGATAAATACTTCAAAAAATACCTACAGACAACCTCTCCTCCAGCCAAAAAAACCAAATAAATCAACCAATGAAAAAATCTTAACTTCACATCATGGAGATTTTCAAATAAATGAACTACTGTCTGATAGAATTCTTAAATTTTTTGAATTATGATTATGATTTTGTACAAATCTCATCCATAGCACTTGGAAACACTGTATCTGCTTCAAATCTGAACAAAAATGGTAGCTAAATGGGTATGGGGAAGTGTTAGTTTAAACAAAAGACAGGAATTCTTACCACATCCCAGGACTCCAGTAGTGGAATACTTTTAAGTAGAATCCCACGTTCATTACAATGAAAGTCAAGGTGAGCTCTTCCATCAGCTCCTATTTGAGTAACTGCCACAGTGGACAGCAAATCCAACTCATCTTCGTAGTCCACAATTTTGAATGTCTTGGATAAAACAAAACTTCAATTTTACAAATCAAACATAAATTCATATTCCCCTCTACCAAAATTGCATAGCACTTTTTCTTTCAGGTGAATGCAGAATGGGAAAAAAATGTAGTTCTTAAGTATTCTGGTCCAATTAAGAAACTTTGGCAGCCTGATACCCAACTGGCATCTTTCTGAACACATGTTGTTCAATATATTTCAGCAAAATTCCTTAAGACAAAAGAAAGTGATGTTCTAAACAATACTAATGTGCAAGTAGATGTATTTTACATGTATCCTACAGGAAACAGAATAAAGTACTTTGAAAGTGACAGAAGAAATACATTTAAACTCCATGCCCTCTCTTGAAGCAGACATGCTAGAGACAGTATAGCTTAAAACCATTACTGGTTTTGAGGGAATGAGTAATTCCCCCCAAAATATTGGCGTAATTCCATTCATGTGAACACCAATCTGTTCTATACAGAGCTTGTCCTCACTCCACAGAGTACGTCACAGTGAAGAAATGAGATCAAAAGGTGTAAGACTGTGAACTGCTTTAATTGCCTCTATCTCACTGTCTTCAGGCCAGTCTTTTCCTTCCATGATGGAAAAAATTTCTACTGGAATCACAAATAAATCGTGCGCAGATTATGATTTTTATTATGTTTTTTTTAAAAAAAAGTGAATAGAAATGAACTGCAGGCCTCCAGGGTTATAATTGGACTGTCTCGTATTTTTACCACAGTAAAATCTATTTCCTCAGAAAGGACAGAAATTACTGCCATGAATTTTAACTGTTGTGCTTATGTCAATTACAGCTCCAGCTCTAGAGAGCTAAAAAAATATTCTTCAGAATCTCTTGATGACTCAACACCAAGGCATGTGGTGTTTTCACTCTCAAGAAGCAGTTACTTAAAGGAAGTATTAAATACTTTATCCTACTATCTAATCAAAAGTAACTGAGAGAGAAAAATACAGTTTAGAGATACTGTATCAAATACTAGAGGAATCTAATGCAGAGGAAAAAAAGAAATGTTCTTTCATTTTATAAAATGCTTTACAAGAAGTATTTAAAGTGGATGTCTGAATGAAGAGTAATGGTTCATCACATTAACAACTCATTTCTGTGCCACTGAAGTCACACGGAGTTATGATGGTATCATGGGGCATATGATCAGTTCTTAAAAGAAAGAGATTATCCAAAGTACAAATATCAAACAAGGAGAAAAGATGACAGAGAGGGCAAATGAAATAATTAGAAGTTAAGAAGACAGAAAGACAGAAGAGGAATAAAGAACTCAAAGATTAACACAGCTAATAGTTACAGCCACTGCACCTGAAACAAGAATGACTTTTGGCTAGCTAAACTTCTTAAATAATCCATGAACTGTTCTTACTCACTACATCAGTTACCTCTTGCTCTGGGTCATCATCCAGCAAGTTAAGACGCTTTTTCACCACTCGACCAGAAGCTGTTACAGTAACAGCACTGTTCACCTTTGAAGAAAAAGAAAAAAGTGTCTCTAGACTTCAGAGCTACAATGTTTCTTCCTACCTATTTGGGAATGTATCTATTTCATGATTTTTTGCTTTCTGACCTTGTTTTAATCTCTGGGATCTTGTTTTACTCCTTAGCTATGCAAGGCCCTAGAGCTGCTATCTCTTCTTTATGAGGGTTCATAATCTCAGTGGCTTTAGTTGAAATATTACTGATGTTTACTTCTCCTCAGAGGTTCTCAGCTACCGTAATTTTTAGAATAGAAGTGAATAGAGCCAAGATACTACAATGAGAATTAGGAGAGCTAAGTCACCACCAATTTGTTTCTAAAACTCTTACTTCCAGAAGACAGGGAAAATAGCAACTTAAACCACCACAGCTGCTTCCACTGGGCTTCCTTCACACCAGAAACATTCAAAACTGGGGTATCAGTGTCTTAATGGAAGTCAAAAGGAAAAGACGCATCACAGACAGGTTTAGAAGTCCTATCTCTTTGCTCTGACTGAAACAGAAGTTATCTAAACAAACCCTAAATAAATGTAAAAATAAATAAATGTAAAAATAAATAAAGTCATTAGATGACAAAGTTTATGTTTTCTGAATTCAGTGGAAGTTTTATTCCTGAGTTAGCGTAGATTTTTAATAAAATTTTTCTTCTGCGGAAGCTTCAAAATTAGTATCACTGATTTCTAGGAACTTTACAGTACTCTAACTATAAAAACTTCCTTTTATGTAAAACTAACTTTGTATACTGATACAAAATGACAGTTCCAGGCACTGCCAAATAACTTTTTTCACAAGTGTTCTCTTTATCCTTTTTGATATTTGGGTTGTCTTTGTGATTTTCTATCACAAAGAAAATAATGAAACAACCAAGGTGATTTAACAGTGCATTTCTACCAGGAGATTTAGATCATCCCCTTGCCACTTGGTTCTACCTTCCTGCACTCATCTGACCCGCAGGTGATTCAGTTCTGTTCAGCTCCAGCTCAGCTGACCAAGTAAGCAGACAAGTACTTACATTTTCTGCTTGGTTATTATTCTGTTAGTGCACTGATTTGGCTCTGATTTGGTTAGATGAAAGCCAAATCTGTCCCAGGGGAGCGGCAGACATGCATGGCCAGGAAAAACCCCAGACTTCTGGAAGCAATGTTACGTCTGTGTTGTCTTATGAAGACTTACCCTTAAGTTACAAGAGACTTGAAACATTTGCAGCATTTGTATGATTAACTTGCTTGAGCACCAGAGGTGCACAAAATTATGACTTGGTGGCACCTTCTTTTGAAGGAAATCTGTCACCACCTTATAAGTATGTTTTATATCAGTTATACATGGTTACACTGTACACCATGAAGAATGCTGAAAACTAAAAATAAGACGGGAGGTCTAGAAAACTATCTACTGGAGGTCTAGAAGACTATCCTGCAAGTGTTACTGTTTTCAAAATTTTTTTTCCTACAGCTTAAGTCCAATGATTACATGGAATTTCTTTCAATAAACTCTGAATTGAGCCCACAAACCACAGTGATTACTCACATACACAAAACCCTTGTGTATTGCTAAGTATGATAGATTGCGATCTTGGACAGTAAACTCACACAGTTTTCTCTGTTGGCCACAATTGTAAAATCTTCTGCAATCTCCGCTTGATCTGTATTATTCTGAACTTCCTTAAGCTTCAAGACTCTACAAAAGAAACGTAAATTGTAAAATAAGCTATGTATTCTAATTCACCTACAACACTTCTGTATCATTAAAAAAACCCAGGTATGTTGAAACATGGAGGATAACTGAAATATACATAAAACACAAAAAGAATTTATTTCAATCAGTGAAATTTTAAGACAGTGGTCCTTCAGCATTTTTCATTTCAAAATATCACATAAAAAAATTATCACATAGAAATCTGTAGATGTTTCTACCAGCAGTCCTGATTCTGACAGTTTTACAGTTTCTAGGGCTTCCAAATTTGTTTTGGCCTGCAAATTGTCCAACTACTGAATTTATGCAGTTACATAACTTTTCCTCTAATGAAAATGAGATTTGAAAAAAAAAAAGAAAAAAGGCTCATACTTTATTAAATTTGGTCCCACGTGGATTATTCTACCTGACATATCTGGATGGAAATATATCCAGTCAGGCTCCAGTGAACAGCATTTCATATCCTGTATGCCATTTTTTGCCTGAAAAAAGAAGAAAAAGCTTAGAATATTAGTATTTAGAAGATCTCACAGATCTAATGAAAGAGGAAATACTGAGCTCCTCTCCATATGCCTCTGAAGGTTTTTAAGTATTGCTCATAATCATGACAAGAAAGGATATCAGTGGAACAACAATAATATTAATGAAAAGAAGACTAATTTCCAATTCTCAAGATACCTAATGAAATAGCTTCAACTTGTTTTAACAGGCAATAAGCAATAGCCTTGTGCCATGGCTATACATGGTCCTACCTCTCCTGAAACTAAGCAAATGGAAGATTTAGCCTACACTCTGCAAACACTTCAACAATTCCAGCAATTCGGGTGTCAAAGACATGAAATTTGTCAAGACATAAGAAAAGCATTAGCACAAACTTAGGCTTGAGCTTCAAACCTCAGGCTCAGCTTCTTTTGTGCAAATATTTGTGGAGTATGTAAACTCTACAAAAAATAGCTTGGTATTGGCTAAAAATCTTGGGACTTTGGCAGTGTTAAATTGTGCTGAGCCTGATCATTTAAATTTTGAAATGTATGGACCTGCATAGAAAAGACTAGGTGAGAAAGGATTGTACAAGTTACTTTGAATCAAAACTGCTCTTCAGCAAGAAAAGATCTGAAAAATCTGTTTTGAAAATAAGAGATAGGAGGGGATCATTGACTTGATCAGGCTAGTTAAATAGACAAAGACATTTACAGATAAGAAGTTTTGTTAGTGAAGAACCCTGAACTAACAGGCCTAGAAGCTGCCTATATTACAGAATTATCTTCAGGTCAAATTCAGATCCAAAATAAAAGCTGAGTTGGAGAGCTCACGCAAAAGAATATATGACGAATAATACATAAACAAAAATAATTAGGAATGCTGAATTAAACTGAGTAATCTTTCTAAGGAGAGAGAAGAGGTAGAAATCAGGGATAAACAACAACAAACGTTAAGGAGACTTATTCTGCAATTTCTTAAAACTTAAAATGTGTCTTTATTGATGTCATTTGGTAGGCTGGCTAGTCTTAAGATGTTACCATGCAAGTTACCAGGTAACGAGATTCTGCTTGAGCCTTAGCTTTTAAGACAAGAATACAGTACTAGGTGGCATTGACAAGTGCTACAATTATTTTGGCATGAAGGAAACATCAGAAGCAGTACTAATGCAGAAGAAAACATTTTACAGGTGACTCCACAGGACAGCAGATGTAACACTGTGGGGTGATGCCTGTGAGAGGACCACACTGGAAAACGAGAGTATTGTTACCTTGACCGCTAGTAGAAGAAGAGATGAAGACAAATGTGTGATACACATTCATTTCAGAGAAGCTGCTATCTGAATATATTACCAAAGTATTGTCTTTCAGAGAACAAATATGGAAGACTCCTTTATGTTTTTTCTTGTTAGGTGTGATGATATAATGCCAAGGGTAGCCTCCAATTTGAAATGCATTCTCCAGAGAAGATGCTTCAAACAGCAAAGGTGGGGTATCTGCAAATATTCGGTAATGTTAACACCGTTAGTAGAACAATCATAATTCCATTGATCCTTAAAATTCTAAATTCCAATAAAGCGATTAATAGAAATACATTAGCTGTGATCTTTTCTCTAGCACCAGCTATGCTACCTCACCTAGCACCCAGGCACGCATCTGCACTTCCCTGTGGAAGGTTATTGCCTTCTCAGACCTTCATGCTAAACTGCTCCTCTGATACCTTTGACCTACTGCATTCCAAATGAGCTGGATAAGCAAAACCAGTAAGCAAACAATTAAAATTAATCCAGCTTATCTGAATGAGAGTACACATACGTGTGAACAGATGAAAAAGCATATCAAAAGGGTCGTTATTCTCTTGGGAAAAATAGTGGTAAATAGCTGGAAACAGGCTGACTGCAGCAATCTCAAATAACAGAACTAAATGCAGAAAGATACCCAGATCTGAATATTTCTTCTCCTTTTGCATAATACAACAAAGTAATGTGGACCACAATGAATGCAATCTCTAGCCAAGTTCATTAAAATCAATACAAATCTAGGAATTTTTGTAGTTAATGGCAAAAGGTTATCTAGTTTTCCCTTCAGTTCACTTGGGATAAATTATAACGATGTAATATGTCATTCTTACAAGTCTTCTGTACGATAAATAAAAGAAGCATCTTTGAACGAAGTATACTGCACGGAGCTTGACAACTCCTACCAGCTAGCTAAATGAAAGCAATTTCTACAGCTGCTATAACTGAATCGACTTTAGACTGAAGATCAGCTCCTTCCAACACTACAGAGAAGTGCTGGAAAAAAATTTTGACAAAATGTGGAGAAAATCTGCAATTACAAGGGGCATTTAAACAGGCAGAATTTAAAAGCCAAAGATGAATTACTGTGAGGAAAACAAGGTTTTTATCTGGACTTGTGTTCCAAAGGTCTCATCCAGATTTTTACTTGTTATTTTCCTGCTTAGTCTAGGTAATTATCCAGAACCTAACCAATGGTGCTAAGATGTCACATGGTACCAGAAATTGCATTTACATAGTGCTTCCCTATTTTTCCTTCATTCATGTTTCCAGGAATTTAGCCATATAGACTGAAAGGAATTAGCTCACTACCCATGGAAATGAAGTCTTCCCTAAGCGGAAATTAGCTGTCTTCTAGTTGTCTTTTGGCCTAACACATAGGAATTGTGAGATTCTGTGCAAGATACACTGAAGTATAGCTTATAAAAACTGAGACATCTGCTGAAAATGTAGACAATGTTCCACATGGAGACATAACCAGAGGACTTACTCATACTAAAATCTGCCAAAAAATGGAAAATTAGTCAAGGAAATTTGTTAAAATTTTAATCCTATTGACTTTTTCTTTAGAAATAAAGAATGTATTGCAAGGCCCCTCAAAAATTCTGGTGGATGGACTAAATGATAGATTTAAATGTGTTTCAATAATATATCAATCCTAAGCAATACAGGCTGCTGATAAAATATGCTTTTTTTTAATGTTCATTTGGCAAAGATTTGCAAGATCATAGCCACCTAAGCCAGTATGACAGCGTGACTCTGCTGCCTAAACTCCCTATTTCCTGCTATGAGCCACTCACTCTTGTTGCCCCACACCATCTATTCTCATTGTTTTTAAGTCCTTTCTGTAGCATTGCCAGTTTTCAATCTCCAGTCGAGCTTCGTTGTCCTCTTCCTTACACATCCTCACATCTCAGCATAAAGCTATAAACTTGTTCCTGGCAGCACTAACAAGTATTTGTTCTAAACGTAAAAAAAAAAAAAATAAAAAAAAAATGAAATTACTGTATCCTCTAATAATAAATTGAACTACAGTTTTAAGTTCTCGATCTTTCAGAAAGTGACAGAATGAAGATTTATAGGTACCTTTCCATTCCTTCCACTGTGACTAATGGCTGTTAAATGATGGTAGGTATGTGGTAGCCTCTAAGTTTTGATCTCTATACACTTGCTCTGGGGTACCTAACACCCCATAAAACAGCACTATAGTAACTTCCATCCCTTCAGGCAATTTCTGTAGGGAGGCTAGGACTAAGTAAGAAGTAAAATTACATGTAGTTAAGTTATAGTAAATACTCTGAAACTGTTAAAATCTCGCTCACTGAAGCACTGCAACACACTGAACAGTCAGTTGGCCTTCTCAAAGAACACAGCTCAAAACCCACAGGAATGCAACTATCTGCAAAGAGCAGCCTTTGCAAATGTCTGTCATGAGTACAAAACTTCCTAACCACAAATTCCTGAATACGATTCAAGATCAAAAATGTTTTCTCCAGTACATTGGTTTTAAATCTCAAAACTAAAAACTCTAACGATCTGTAAGACCTAAGGACAAATCTGGTATACGCTTTGTATTAAAGCTCCCACAGCATGTTTTCCACAGGGCCCCTAACATTAAATTGTGGTTTTGCAGACTGAGATGGAGAGGAAAATGAGAGAAATTTTCCTTTGCAGAACCTGAGTCATCAATTATAGCACCCTTTTATTTTGATAAAACTTTGCATTATAGCTGAAAGCCTTCAGTATATAAGTCTGTATTTTATCTTTGTGTATTTCCTCAGGTTTACGTAAAACTGGTTTGGCTTCCCTGATACTGTCTTTCACTGTGAACACAAAGATCAAAAGCATTTTTTATGTGGACAGTCACCTGTAAAAACAATTTAATACAGAAACATTCAAAACTGAAGATATAAAAGCATGCATCATTTGATATTGGTGAAACCTACTGTTTGGTGGGTTTTTTTGACATACCTTAAGTGTGAACTTGTGAGAATGTATTTTTAAAGTAAAAAAAAAAGTTTCAAGAAAGTCCCAAGCTTTGGTCCTTCATTAAGATTCTTAGCACCAAATTCTAATCTTAAATGCACCAACAGAAATGACTGTTTGGTTTCAGATACATTAAAGTTATTATCTAAAGCAGAACACTCATAAGTTATTGATTTGAGGCATAAGAATTGTTTTTTAATAGATAGTTTGTTTTCAGGAATTCATTTTATTGAAACTGGCACATTTCTGACAACTTAGAATGATCAAACTCAGACAAATTGTGTTTGATCTCCTTTAATTCCCTCTGCAAGTTAGATTAAATGTGCTCACATTTTTTGCTTACATACCATATACTGTTTCCAGGTGCTACTAACAGCTGTACTAGCCCGTCCTCTTTCTCAAGAGCAGTTGTGTCTCAGAAATAAAGAAGGAGTTTCCACTTCCATGCATCGCTTAGGAAGTTTTTCAAGAAGCCTTGTTGCTATACTAGTTCTCTAAGTCCTATGCAATTAATTCTTGTAATTAGAAGTAAAGCAAAGCACATTTTTATTATAACATAAAGCCAGAAATACAGCTACAGCACAATATGAATATAGTAATTCTAATGTTTTTTTCTTCATGTGAAATCAGTCATAATTTATCCATAAAAGCCACCAGCCCAGATAATACAAAGAACATAAATACCTGTTATTTTAATGTTACATGGAAGACCAAATGGATACTTTCCTACAACTCCCCCTTGACCGTTCCAGTTGAATTCCTGTCCCAAATCAAACGGCTGTTGCATGAACTAAAATAACATGGAAGAATTTAGTTTTCTTGATGCATATTTACTTGGTGTTTAGTTACTACTGCATTCTTTATCTTGTTAAATACTGCTTGAAGTCTTATTTTTGAATTAACATTTGATTTTCATTGGAAGAACATAAACTCAAAAGTCTCGCTGCAGTTCCGTTTCAGATCAAACGATCCTCCATGCTCACCAGTTTCTAGCCTTAACACTCATCTAGTAACTACAGACTAGGTGTGTGAAGAAGAGTACACTCTGATCTGGCGTTTATGTAGCTCCTCTCTGTCTGCGCGGAAGTGCCCGTCTGACCCTGGATCTGTTACGTTTTGCCACCTGTAACTGATGTGGGTAGAATTTTCTGATCATATACCCATTTACATCTTCTGACTGTAAATAGATTTGGGCAAGAACTCTACCCTTTGACACATTCCCCATGCACCTATGTGGCATTACATGAATAGTTATGATTTATTCCCCCAAAATAGGACTCAATGAACAATTTTGTATTTCCTTACCTGTTCCAAGATGGCCTGGAAGTTATAGAGCCTGACCAGACCCATGCTATACATTACAATCAAGATTCCATTAGAAACAGCAACATCTGTCACACTATTACCAAATATCTGGAAAAAAGGAAGAGAAAAATATTCTATTAGGGTACAAATAACTGGGAGACAATGCAAAATACTGTCATTATGTCCTTAATTTTGCAATCACTTCCATTTTTTATTCTGACCAAATCCTAGGACCAGTGTTTTAGTTCATGAAGCTTTCCGTAACTCATTTGTTCTGCTGAGTTTCTATAATTCTTCACACTGCAGTAACACCTGAGGATAGATTAGTCATATTTTGCAAGTAGATTCATTCTCAAATCAATTCTCAGTATATCTGCATATCATGCTACCCAGTTATTATCCTACATAAATAATTATATTACCCAGCATCCTACAGGAATGTTAGCAAAGCTAACAACTCAGTCTAAAAGTACTGATTTCAGATCTTCTGTTCTTTCTTCATCACCAGGGTAAAATACTAGTCTAATCATGACTGTGCACAGCTGCACTTAAACTACATTATCCAGCTGCCACAGAGTATAGTATCCTCTCTGAATCCAAATTAGACACATACATGAGAAGCTGACTTACCCCTTTTAATAATTATGCAGTATTCATTTGTGCCACTGCTTAACACATCTCCACTGAGAAAAACCCAACAAACTAATTCTTAATACTTAATGAGTAACAGCACGTGAAGTTCTTAAATTTTTTTTTAAGAGAGATGCTTGGAAATGTAGAGTTTTCATTTCTTTAATCTGAATCACTACATGAAAAAGCAATTAAACCAGGGTTAAAACAGGCTTAAAAACAACTGAAAAAAAAAGAAAAAGAAATGCAAAATATTACTTCAAATCTTAACACTATCAATGATCTTGTGATCAGTTTGGTCCCAGAAGATACATTCCTGAGAATGTATTACTGAGATCTTGCCTTTTGTTTAGTCTTATGACTCTTTCTCATTATATTTGTTGGTTTAGGTCTCAGTGTCTTCCAGACACCAACTCATTACAGACTTCCAACCCTAAACTCAGTGCAGGCCCAACTGAAGAATTATTCTTTTAGCCGTGTCACCTGCTATGACTATGACGAATGTGGCACGCCCTTCCTAACCAGACCGAGAATACCTTTGATACCAGTAATACCTTTTCCAGTCTTAATAATTATGAACTGAACAATACACACAGTGGTCCTAAACTTTTATGGGCCCATATCAAAATGTTTAACCCCACTCCCTCATTTGGCAGCCCAATGCCAATTACAGCCTCAACCCAACCCAGCACCAGCTAAAACCTACTAATAGCTCTGGACCCCAAATGAGACTGTAGCTCACTGAGCTTTGAAGACAGAGCTTACATGTTTGTACTGTTCCATTTATAAGTTGAATCCAGAGCTACCTTGACTTAAAATAGACATATTTTTTCACCAGAACAGTAAAACTTGCCATCTGGCTTACGTACAGGTCACAAATTGACCTCGGAAAGGTTTTTTGCTCCTCACTTATAAAGCAAGACACATACTTACATTTTGCCACTTGATATCAATGATAATACAAGTTTGAAACATTTGTAACTGCACATAGAATTCATGGACTATTTCTAGGAGTGGATCAGGGGCACATCTATCTTTCCTTAAAGAGCTGAAGTCTACAAGCATTTTAGCATTCCCTGATTCTTACGACTGCTGTAAGTAAAGGCTAAAGTCTTTCTACATGTCAAAGAGTAACCCAATAGCAGAATGCATTTTTATTTTGTTTTCTGGTCATTCAAATTAACACCAATACCCAATAAGACACAAGAACATTACTGTTAGTTAACATTTCAGGGCACTATGCTTCTACAAGCTGTTAGTGTTTCTTCTGAAGTTCTGGGGCAATTGCCTAAACCATGCCTCTGATACAACTACAGTAGAGATCACAACTAACAGAGGAATGCACTTACCTTTTTGTTTATTTCTAGCATTCCAATAAATGAAAGAGGCAAAACTTGGAATACAGCAAGATAGAACAATACGGACTGTTGGATACCTGCCTGGGAAGGAACAACAACAATACTGAGTATAATTATTATACTTGAGACATTTATTAATGGTAGGACACCTTCATCTTCTTCCATAACTAACCAAGCCTGTCTCCATCTCTGTCCTCATACATTTTTTTAATCCATTTTGTAAAAATTTAAGAACAATAGACTTTTTTAACAAACTCACCTGCCGTGCTGCTGCAGGGAGCTTATTCTGAGCTGACTTTACAACCATTACCTCTTGAGGAGTATCCCAGCTCAAATATCTATTTGTGACAAGAAAGGCATATCTTACTAATTTAAAAATCATTTAATAATAAATACATTATTTCACATAAAATATAATGTATAATTAGGCAGATCCCTGTGTCCCGGCAGACTGCTCAGTAACTGATTTGGGAGAGGTGCCTGAGGTGTTTGCTCTTTGCAATAATGCACAACCCATGGAACTAGGAATGGCTTATTCCATACAGGATTGTGAGAAAAGTACTGAAAGTATGAGCATTCACCATCTTAATTTTTCTCTTTCCC